GTGAAATATCCGCCATCTGACTTACGAGAATAACCACGAATAGTCTGAGAACTACGAGGGCACTCCATGTATAAAACAATATAGAAATATAACGATGATTAGTGGAAGAATTATATCCACAGGACAGAGAGAAAAATAAGTATTATATTTAGAAGAAGCGCGATGATAATCTAAGTAAGAACGAAAGTTAAATAAGAGAAAAGACCCAAACATCATCCAGTCTATTCCTTTGTTTGGCAAAATGTTTTCTACGATTGGATGTCCTTCAGTGGATCACTCGTACGTCTGAAGGCTTATAAAGAAACATACTAGGTTTCGATACCCGTACTGAGCACAGCACAGATGGCTCACTGGGTAGCTTTGTGCTAACAACAAACGAACGATATACAGTCGGTCTAATGCATAACACGTGAGACTTTTTGTTGAATTTCGAGCAAAGCCGCTCTAGGACTATCTGTGCTAGGTGTCTCTAATTTATAAAGTAATAGATTAGAGGGAAGGCAGCTAGTCAACACCATCCACCGCCAACTCTTGGGCTATTTTTCCCCACATAATAGTGGGATTGCCCGTCATATTATAACGTCCCCAGGATTAGAAACCATCACCCTCACATTGTGAGTTGAGTATCCTCACCTCCTGGCCATTTGGCTTGGTTTCTTTGGAACTTTGCGTAAAGCTACACGAGGGCTATCTGCGCTATCCGTCCCTAATTTAGTAGTGATAGACTAGAGGGAAGGTAGCTAGTCCACAACACCCACTTCCAAATCTTGGTCTACTCTTTTACCAACCCCCAGGCCACGTCAGGCCTGTTTTAAGAGTTAACTACTGAGAACGATGGAATAAAAGTGTGAATTTGTCCTGACCTGCGCGGGTATCGAAAAACGATTTTTTAGCATCATTTGTCAAAACGAGTGAAAATACAATAGAGTTAGGTTTTGTGTACACCTTCGCACATTAATGTACCTCTGACACTTAAATAAGCCATTAATGACGTATTCATATAAATCTTACCCTCATTCCCATCGGCAGAAAGGTAAGTTTTTCTCGGATATATAAAACACATATACAGACCTAGCTTTAGCGGGTAGGCTAGGTAGACAAGTTTTCTTACGAATATGAAATGCCTGGTAGGCAAGTTTTCTTACGAATATGAAAAGCCTGGTAAGCCGAAGGGTTTACAATGATATTAATTCAACGTCATTTTGAACGTTGCTAAAATGTGCAAATGGAGGATCTTTATTCCTCATTGATATAAAATTGTAAACAGAAATGTGTTAAAGTTTATTTTATTTTATTTGGAGAGCTGGAAGTTTATTTCTTGCTAGTTTTAAGAATAATTTTTACGTTTTAACATCATCAGTAAGTATTATCTAAAAAACAAAACTACGAAATAGAGATAGTGAATTCGTTAAACTTCCAAGTTCCACAACAATAATATTGTTGCGTCATCGAGATCATGTGATTCTCACGCTCTCTACTTTCTAGAATTATCCTGTACTTTGGCGAATGTTCTTGTTCTTACTAGATATAGGGTAGGCTGGTATATAAAAGAGGGGAATGTAATGTGTGTGTGTAGATAGTGAGTAATTGAATTGCAGTCAGAAGTATTGTTGACGTTCGTTGATTAGCGTTTGTTTTAGCGCGATTGTTGAAGTTAAGTGTATCGGTAAAGTTATATTCGGAAAGAATAAACCAGTTTTATTAAGAAAGAACTTGTGTCGCTTAAGTTTCGTCGGAACGAAGTTACGGAAAATCAATTAACAAACGGAGACGTAACAATATTCTAAACTAATTATAAAGGGACCAAATGGATGTCATACAGGATATTTAAACGAGGTAACGTTTCAAGGATAAGAACCTTACTCACAGATAGCTTAGCTGAACAAATGCTATTTCTTTCCGAAGCTGGCGCCAGGTACAAAGGATGTTGGTAGGCCCACAACGACATCCTACATATATTCGCTGTTCTTGTCTGAAACATACCTGAATGATGAGAGACAAGTAAATAAAAACATTGTCATCAGATCTCCATGTTCGTTATCTAAACACATTTTCAAATAAAAAATAACTGATGCTGATTTAGATAATTAACCCCAAGTGACACTCCAGTGTTTACCTGTGACTGTCTTCACAAATGGACAATGAGGTTTTAAATAATTAGTCCTAACTAACACTCCAATGTTTACCTGTGAATGTGTCTACAAGTGGACAATATGACTTTAGATAATTAGTCCTAACTAACATCCCAGTGTTTACCTGTGACTGTCTTCACAAGTGGGAAATGTAGCTTTAGATAATTAACCTTAATTAACACCCCAGTGTTTATCTGTGACTGTCTTTACAAGTGGGAAGTGTAGCTTTAGATAATTAACCTTAATTAACAGTAGTTACTTTATTTACAAATACAAGTGAGAAATGTAGCTTTAGATAATTAACCTTAACTAACATCCCAGTGTTTACCTGTGACTGTCTTCACAAGTGAGAAATGTAGCTTTAGATAATTAGTCCTAACTAACACCCTAGTGTTTACCTGTAACTGTATTCACAAGTGGGAAATGTAGCTTTAGATAATTAACCTTAATTAACACTAGTTACTTTATTTACAAATACAAGTGAGAAATGTAGCTTTAGATAATTAGTCCTAACTAACACTAGTATTACTTACCTGTGACCGTCTTCACAAGTGGGAAATGCAGCTTTAGGTAATTAACCTTAACTAACACTAGTATTACTTACCAGTTACTTTATTTACAAATACAAGTGAGAAATGTAGCTTTAGATAATTAACTTTAACTAACACTAGTAGTAATTACCCGTTACTGCCTTCACAAGTGGGCAGTGTCTATTTAGATAATTAATCCTATAAACATTATAGCGTTCACCCACTATGAGCAATGCTAATTTAAATAATTAACCCTAACTGATACTCCAGTGTTTCCCATAAGCGTGGCTGTTTATCGAATGTGAAGTGCCGTTCAGATAGCAAATACAAAAGAAAAAAACAAAGAAGTATTTATCGATAACACAAAAACAAAAGTCAAATTTCAAAATAATAACGTAGAAGCAGGTGTTCGGTTTTACAGTGATAATGCTAAAATGAATGCCCAATTTTACAATAAAAGCGTAGGAAGAAATATCCAATTTTATAACGATAACGCAGAAACGTGGTTATATTTTATTTAGTATTTTATTACTGAACGGTGGTTATCGTCTTTATGATATTTATCACTACATGTTTATATTTTATTACTGAACAGTGGTTATCATCTTTATGATATTTATTACGACGTGTTTATATTTTATTATTGAGCAGTGGTTATTGTCCTTATTATATTTATTGCTGCGTGATTATATTTTGTTACTGAGCAGTGGTTATCGTCCTTATGGTATTTATTACGATGTGTTTATATTTTATTTCTAAATCCTGGTGATCGTTCTTATATTTGACGACGTAATTATGTTTTACTTTATTTGTTCAACTGAAATGTAGCCTATAAATACAACAGTTTTCTTATAAGGTCACTAATAATACAAAATATATAAATGATTAAGTTCCCGGATCTTACTATCAGATATACCTCTACACTCAAGTTTTTTTCATTTCTTGATAGGTAGCGCTTCGTGTCCTGCTAGAAATCGTAAAGTCGTAACTATGGGTTTTCTTTCTGGGTGTTAGTTATAGTGACAGTTTTCTCCAGGTTCTATTAATGTAAAAAAAAATAAAGCATATTTATATTATTTTCAATTTAAAAAAAATCATAAATATTTTACTGCGATGAGATCAGGCTTAAAAGGGTGAAAAACAACAACTCGTATTAGTAGAATCTATATTCATGTTTTAACTTTCATTGTCGGTTGGGTTTCTCTCTGGCTTGGTTATTTGCTGTAAACCCCATGGTATCATATTACATTAAAATATCTGTGTTTTAGATTGTTTGTAGTCATGCACAAAGCTACAAAATGGGCTATCTGTGCTCTGCCCACCACGTGTATCGAAACCCTGTTTCTAGCGTCGTAAGTCTGCAGATATACCGCTGTGCCACTGGGGGGCATGTGTTTTAGAATGATAGACATTATACCACTTCAGATGTAAACTTGGAGCATGCTCAGTGGCTCTTCGTTTCTATCAGGTCATTGAATTTTGTGCCACTGGGGGGCGTGTGTTTTAGAATGATAGACCTTATACCACTTCAGATGTAAACTTGGAGCATGCTCAGTGGCTCTTCGTTTCTATCAGGTCATGGAGCATGCTCAGTGGCTCTTCGTTTCTATCAGGTCATTGAATTTTCACAAAAAACACCAAAATTATTCACTAGTATTTTTGCAGCTGGGGAGGAGAATGGGGTAGGGGGATGAGGTTCTGGGCTTTCTGAACAGAATTTTAACTATGTGTCTCATATTGCAGATGTAAAACAAAGTTATTCATAAATTACAAATAGTTAATTTCAACAAATTTTCTTTGATAAAAAGATATATTTATCATTATATTACATAGAGAAGATAATTCGCACGTAATTAATTAACACATATTTCTGAAGTAAACTTAAAATACAGAGCTAGTACAAAATAGCTTCAACATTTTCCAAACCTACCCCCCCCCCAGAGTTAATACAAAATAACTTCAACATTTTTCCAACTTATCCCCCCTCCAGAGTTAACATAAAATAGCTTCAACATTCTCTCAACTTAAAGCCCCCCCCCAGAGTTAATATAAAATAACTTCAACATTTTCCCAACTTATTCCCCTCCAGAGTTAATATAAAATAGCTTCAACATTTTCCCAACTTATCCCCCCTCCAGAGTTAACATAAAATAGCTTCAACATTCTCCCAACTTAAAGCCCCCAGAGTTAATATAAAATAGCTTCAACATTCTCCCAACTTAAAGCCCCCCAGAGTTAATATAAAATAGCTTCAACATTTTCCCAACTTAAAGCCCCCCCAGAGTTAATATAAAATAGTTTCAACATTTTCCCAACTTAAAGCCCCCCCCCCCCTCAGTAGCAAATTGGTATGTCTACTGACTTATACCGCTAAAAACGATCTTTGATATCCGTGATGGGCACAGCACAGACAGCCCATTGTATAGGTTTGTGCTTATCTACAAACAAAATCCCAGCTTAAACTAAAATGTAATTTCACCTCTGATTTAAAATCGTTTTGAAATTTCTCATAATGGCTGTCAAAGGTGTTTTGTTAGCACGTAGAAGTTCGTATCAGGTGAAGTATCACATGCACCATGACTGATAAGAATTTCTGTTTTCTGAATTCCTCGACTTTAATGTCTGTTCTCCAGTTATGGTGATTAGGTTTTATCAATGTAAGGCCTTATGTAAAAATATAAGATTGACAGTTCATTGAACTGTAGATAGAAATTTCGTCTCCGCTCTACTGCCCCACTTCTTATCCTGTGAGAATACTTATTGAATTATTAGCTGATTAGATTATTACGTGATTTGGGTGAAATTTACTGAAACGAGTTTACTTGAACAAGCCATTTACTCTTATCACTAAACTGTGACAATCTACTTTGTGTGAAAAGGTCAGCTGCTTTCAAGATTACCGAACTCTGTCAACACCATTGGTATTATCATAACTGTTGTAGATGTTTAAAATTGATATCTCCTAACTGTTGTAGATGTTTAAAATTGATATCTTTATAACTGTTGTAGATGTTTAAAATTGATATCTTTATAACGAAGGTGTTGAATCTCAACTTTGTGATTGTGTAAATTACTGATCTTATTACCTCGAAATTTGGATCATTAATTACATTTCTTCGTAACTGTTTTAATTAAAATGTTACTTAGTACATGTTTTAATTAAGAAACCCTTAACTGTGTTACGTCTCCGTTTGTTAATTGATTTTTTTCCGTAACTTCGTTCCGACGAAATTTTAACGACACAAGTCTTTACTTAATAAAACTGGTTTATTCTTTCCGAATACAACTTTACCGATACACTCAACTTCAACAATCGCGCTAAACAAACGCTGTAACGTCTCTCGTGCTCTCTGACTGCAGTTCAATTACTCACTGTCTATGCACACATTACATTCCCCTCTTTTATATATCAGCCTACCCTATATCTAGTAAGAACTAGAACATTCGCCAAAGTACATGATAGTTCTAGAAACGTTGAGTCACAGTAGTCATGTGACTCGATGACGCAACACTGGGGTGTATTTGGAGTATAATGCTTAGTTTATCTAATATTGTGATATCTTATGGTGGAGTTGTATCTGATTATAATGTTAGTTTATGTACTAATAGGCTAGATGTACAACAAAGTCCTTTGATGGAGAGATTCGGCATTATGGTTCTTATGGGAGGAGGCGACGAAGACGGGATACCAAGAAGCTCACACCAGAAAGAACTTCAAGAAGCCAAAAGGAAGTGTTTGTTGTACAGTCCATCCACATCACAGATAAGTTTGGTTTTGAGAGAAGTGAAAGAAGGCTTTCTGACTTTAATGAAAATTTGTTTGATAAGAAGAATAATTCATGTGAGTAACATCTTCAGCATTGGTTAGAATAGTTCTCAGAAAATAAAATAACAAAATAAATTACTTATTTAACAACCCAAGCATCAATTTGAAAGTTACATCTAAAGTGTTCATTAGATGGTTATTGTAGAACAACAACAGTGATACGCCTGAATAATGATTTCAGTATATGTTATGAGGTCTATCTAACAATAACTCGGAGAAGAAGGATGACTTGCATTACAGACTGTTAATGGTGTTAAACACTAATGAAAGTTGAGGTTTTTATTATTTCTAAATGACGTTCATGCGTTAAACACTAATGAAAGTTGAGGTTTTTATTATTTTTAAATGACGTTCATGCGTTAAACATTAATGAAAGTTGAGGTTTTTATTATTTTTAAATGACGTTCATGCGTTAAACACTAATGAAAGTTGAGGTTATTATTTTTAAATGACGTTCATGCGTTAAACACTAATGAAAGTTGAGGTTTTTATTATTTTTAAACAGGTTGATTTCATTTTCTACCAAGATACAATTTATAATCGTATCATCAGAAAATGAGAAAATGAAAACGAGAGTAAAACAAAACAAATGTAAAGGCTAAGTTACGTTAAAAAGTTTTCAAACATTTTAAAAACTACAACATTTTTTTTATATCAGTTCAAGTAATAATAAAACTTTATACGTTCGTACCTTCTAATAATGGGTATTATTTATGATTTCCAATCCCTATGTAATATCAATAGTGAGGAACCAGTGTCGTCCTGGGAATGTTGTACACCACACCATAAGAGGAGATATCATTAGCCCTTTCAAATACACGTCTTTCCCCTAGACTTTCTCCTCCTGTGAAATTTGAGTTGAATATAAAGTGCTGACTGTTGATAACACACTGTATTATTAATGCTATATTTCCCTGTCTCGGCAAGAAATGCTACAAAATTATCTGTGTGTATAAACAAATAACTACCGACAGTGATTTCTTCAGGCTTTTTTGTCTGGTGAAATAACATGAAATTCAAGTTTTACATACATAACTATGTAACATACTCCATCACCATAAGTAATGTTCGTGCTGTCACAACAGATTATTACTGGTGTCAATAGATTAAAATACAACACAAAGCACAGTGAAATTATTTTGATATTAAAAAATTGATATTTCACTCTCCACAAGATAAACACACAGAAACACATCACTTGGTGAAACAGAAAATGCTTAGTCACATGATGTATAAAGATCACAATTTTATAGAAATATGTCCTGCATTTATTACGTTACAACATTATTTACAAAAAATGATTTTATTTGTTTGTTTTGAATTTCGCGCAAAGCTACACGAGTGCTATCTGTGCTAGCCGTCCCT